GAGAGAGAGAGAGAGAGAGAGAGAGAGATCTCAAATTGGAACCCACCCATAGTTCACCCTCTAGCAGGTATTCAGAAGCAGTATCTTTGTCTCTCTCTCTCCCTCTCTTTTCCTCTCTCTCCCTCTCCAGCTGGCGGATTCGAACTACATGCCTCAGTGCTGGCCACCAGAGCTCCCTTTACTGACGTATTGGCAAAGAGTTGGCTTCTGATGAAAACCCTCTGTGACTCATTGGTCACACCTGCTTCCTCTTTTACCTGAATGTGGAAGGGAGGGAATAAACGCGACCCTTCTCACGGAAATAGCGCATTTAGAACCCGGGGAGGGAGAGGCAGGAGGAAAATCACAGAAAGCAAAGCCCCAAAGACCTGTTTTCCTGACAATCCAGGCAAGAGCGTGGGGGCGGCTTCTCGGGCCACGCTGAGCCGAGACTACTTAACGCACCGCCTTGCTTCGTTTCTGCCCGAGTTCTCCAGGAGCACCAACTTTGACAAAGGGCTAAGGACACCCTGCAGGCATCAGAGGTAGGAGGAGGATGGGAGGGGCAAAGAGAATTGCCCTGAGGGATCCACATCGCTACAAGCTCCCGGTGATTCCTAACCTTCCGCCTTAGCTTTTAAAAATCACATACATCCCTTGCTTCATTGCTAACGTCCGTGGTACCGGGGACGCAGCGCGTATCCACCAGAGCGCTCTCCAACATGCTGGCTCTTGCAGCTGCATTTTACAAGCAAGCGCAGGGCTGAAGCGCCAGGAACACCCTGGCACCCTATAAAAGCAGTGATGGGAGGACATTTAAACTATTAAACTGCAACTGTTGAAAGCCCCTCCCTGCAGACTTACCTGCTCCTTGCACCCAGTCCCAGCGCTCTGCGGGCGAAGGATGAAGGGGGGAGCTCGGGGTACCTGGAGTTGTCGCTTCGGCTGCCAGGGCGCAAACAGGTGCCTGAGGGAACAGAGTGGGGACATCTCTGTGAGACAGGGCGTTGCGGCACGGAGAGGGCGCAGGAGAGACCCCAGGACAAGACACACGCCTTGCGAGCGCGCGGACTCACCTGCGCGCCCACCTGCGCCAGGAGCAGCATCACCCCGAGCGCCGCGCAGCCCCGCGCCCGCATGACCCGGCCGCCCTGCGAGACCCCGGCGCCCTGAGCCCACTGCCGGCCCTGCGCCCCCGTGGAGGTCACGACGGGCTGCATGCAGGGGCGCTCTCTCCGAGGGGCAGGGGCTCAGATCGCCCCAGTCAGGCGGTGTGCGAGTGACAGTGGAAGAGGACCGGTCACCAAGTGCGGGCGCCAGCGCCCGGGTTATTACTGCGGCGCAGCGCTGCGCGGGGGGCGGAGTGCGACCAAGCCCCCGCCCGGACCGTGGGAGCGCTGGCGAGAGGAGGGAGGGGACGGAGGGCAGGGGGTGAGCAGGGGGTGGGGCGCAGGGCCAGAGAGAGAGGGGGAGGAGCAGAGGGAAAGTGGGGGCAAGGGGGAGGAGGGAAGAAGGGGAGTAGGGCAAGGGGCAGGAGCGAGTTGGAGAGGAGGAGGCTGGAGAAAGTTGGCCAGAGAACAGAAAGGCGGAGACGTGCTCCGCGCTGCACAGCTCTTGTGTTCTCCAGGACCCAGATCCACTTAGCCACGCGCCTGGCGCTCTCTCGCACTACCTTCTTTGGGGAGCTCTGGGGCTAGACCAGCTGCCGCTGTGTCCCACTCACCTGTTCCCCCTCTCCAACCAGAGGCAGCCTTGCAAAGCCTGGCACCTGCTTTGGGCCAATGTGACTTAGGGAGACACTGGCAAATTGGCCAGCCTGGGGTCCGCTCCCTGGACCGTGGAATCTCGTGGAGAAAGGGCTTTGGAGCCCTGCGCGTCGCAAGGATCCGAATGTGCTGAATGTACGTGTCTCCTGGCTGAGGAGGTGACGAAAGGCGAAGGCAACAGGGTGGTTCCTGCCTTGCTGGGGTCCCTGCCCTCCACCCCAGCAGCATTGAAGGGCCCTGGGTCTCTCCATTCTCCCCCAGAAGGCCCAGGTGGGGCTTTCCTGTGCGCAGGGCTGCGGACTGGGCTGTGCAGGCCACGCGAGGGGCAGCGTGGACAGCAGGATGCACGCAAAAACTCAGCCATCCAACTGGCAATAGGCCCAATCTTGGCTTGGCAGCCCTTTGCAGGAGTGCTTGTGAGCACGCAGGTGGGCATGAGCGTGCTTCAGAGGGAGTTTAAGCCTTGGGCCTTGGGTGTTTATATCTGCCTGTGTGTGTGCGTGCACGTGCGCTCAGGTGTGCATGCACGTATGTGTGAATGCATGCTAATGTGTGCCCAAAGGCACCTTTCTGTGTGCTTGTCGATAAAATTACTGAGTGTGTGTGTGTGTGTGTGTGTGCGCGTGTGTGTGCTTGCAGCACAGCTTCTCGCCACCAGGACCCTGCTTAATCCCCATCTTCTCTCTTTGATTGCTCATTTGAGTCTTCTGAATGGAACACTTGCCCAGATTAGGATGGCTGTGGGTTTTAAGGAGTTTAGGTCTACAAGTTACAAGACCAAAATAAATCTGGGCGGGGTAGAGGCTGGAGGTAGCAAGACTGGCCAGAAAGACACCACTACACACACATTTGTCAGCAGATGATGAAAGGTGATGGTTAACTTGATGAGTATGGTGACAATGGAGTGGCTGACAGCTTGAAATCAAGTGAAATTCATTGAGGATAAGGGGCGGGTGCTGGTCTGCGGACCACACTTTGCATGCACTGGTGTTCAAGACAGTAGATTAGAAGACACTAATGATACAGTCCAGCCAAGAAGGGATTCTCAAACCCACCTGTAGACCTTGTACAGGTCACACTATTCTGTCCTGGGCACTGAATTAGGCACCCAGGGTAGACATTCCACCAGGCACTGATATTTTTCTTTTACATAATAAGAGTTTAAACGTTTTGTTTTCTTTATCTTTTTCACCTTTATTTCTTACTATTACTCCTTTTAGAAACACTAGTGAGCTAGTCCTTAGGGACCTCTGTTGGTTCAAATCCACTAGCTGTTCTTTGGCCGGAGGATGGGCCATCTCCTGTCATGCAATTTGTTGTTGTTGTTGTTGTCGTATGCCATGGAGTCACGTGCAACTCATGGCAACCCTATATACCTTTGAAGCCTGCCCGGTCCTGAGCCAGTCTCACTGACTCTGCTATATCTATCCCCCTTGTCCCAGTTACTATATCAATCCATCTCATCCGAGGTCTTCCTCTCCTGTGCTGTCCTTCCACCCTTCCTAGCATGATGTCATTCTCCAAGGACCAGTGAGACAGAGCTTCAAAATCCTAGCCTCCAAGGAGAAACCTGGCTTTGCCCTCTCCAAGACAGAACTAGTGGTTTTCTTGACAGTCTATATGTTATGTTCAAGACCATTCGGCACCACAACTCATAGACATCGATTCTTCTGCCATCCTTATGCTGAAACTGAGGAGGACCTGAGGCATTTGCTGCAGAAGGTCAAGGACTGCAGCCTTCAATATGGATTGAAGCTCAACATCAAGAAAACAAAGATTCTCACCACTGAGCCAATTGGCAGCATCAGTATGGATGGTGAAGAGATTGAGATAGTTAGCAGTTTTAGTTTACTTGGTTCCACAGTCAACACTCTTGGTACCAGCTGCCAGGAAATCAAGAGATGGATTTCACTGGGATAGTTGTGAGGGACCTCTCAAGAGGACTGGAGAGCAATGATGTCAGGCTGGAGACTAAGATGTGCCTGATCTGGGTTATAGTCTTGGCAGTTACATGCTATGCATCGGAGAGTTGGACATTGAGTAGGTATGAGAGAAGGAGAATTGATGCCGTTGAGCTGTGGTGCTGGAGAAGAATGTTGAATATACCATGGACTGCTAGGAAAACAAACAGGTTTGTCCTGGAGAGGGTAAAGCCGGGCTGCTCCTTGGAGTTAAAGATTCTGAAGTTTTGTATGACATACTTTGGGCATGTCTCAAGGAGGGACCAGTCCTTGGGGAGGGACATCATGTTTGGGAGAGTGGAGGGATGGCGCAGGAGAGGGAGACCCTCAACGAGATGGATCAATTCTGTGATTGGGGTAATGGGAGCAGGTGTGTCGGATACAGTGAGGTTGGCACAGGATAGGGCAGTGTTTAGGGTTCTTGTACATAGGGTCACTATGAGTCACAAGTGACTCGATGGCACATAACAACAACAACAACACCATTATGCAAATTACTGCCTCTGAAAACCCACTGGAGGGTCAGCTATGAGTCAGTTTCTGATTCAATGACCCATCACATCAAAGATTTAGCACACTACAGGTTGCACTGCTAAGCACAAAACCAGGAGTTCGAATCCACCAGTGCTCCAAGGAGCAGATGGGAAGTCTTCTCCCATAATGATCTACACGTTGGTAACCTGGGGGAGGGTCACCTGAGTTAGAGCTGTTTCCATGGCCAGGTTTGTATTTTGTTCTAGTTTCCTGAGTTCCGGGGGAGGTCTGGGGAGAGCAGCCTGTTGAGAGTTTAGCAGCTGACTCAAAGGTGACACCTCCCTGCTCTGTGGAAAGGGATGGACAATCGCCTGCCTGTGATTTACAGTCTCAGAACACCCGCTGAAGGGTCACCTGTGAGTCGGTTTGGACTGGGCACCAGTGAGTTTTGCGTTTTATCGAATTCCAAAACAGCAGCTTTCTTGTGAGATTTCCCTTCTCCGTGTAGCTTCAGGTTGGCCTGTGCCCTCGCTGTTGGAGGAAAACCTACCTGGTTATATCTGGTTGTACAACATGCCCTCCAGTAGAAATGTGCTCTCTGCGGCTCCGTCCACTCAGTTATGAACTTATGAGCCAACCAGCAGTGGTTTGCGTCTGAGGGGATCCGTGCACAATCATTTAAACACTGAGCACCAGCCTAGGAACTCCCTGTTTCCCCTTCTCCTCCCCTCACACTCTGAGGCAGCACAGGGACACTGACCTGGGGTGAAGTTTCCTAAGGAGAGGGGTCATTCTCAAGTGAAGTCAGTTGGTTCTCAGCAGACACAGCGGGGCAGATAATGCCTATCTCACCTCAGATGCATATCACCTGCATTGCCAAAGTGCCACTGGGAATAACATTTCAGATCAGAACATTTTCTTTTTATATTGTGATCTGCCAGTTCTTTTTGCAGAAGAGCTATCTGAAATAAGCTTAGCTTTATGATTTGGTTCCTCACATATTCTTCCTTAGTGAAGGGACCCTCAAACCCACACTAAACCAACCCACTGCTGCAGAGGTGATTTTTTTTCCTGAGGTCTTTTACTCTTTTTTTTATTGGTTTGCATACAATAATTTCTATCATTTCTTTCTCTTACCCACTGCTTTCCTGAATATGAAGTCTTCTTTTCCAAGGACTGGTCCCTTCCTGACGACATACATGCCTAAAGTCTCTAAGAAGTTTCACCATCTGTGCCTCTTAGAAGCACCCTCAGGGCACTTCCTCCACATCACACTGATTTGTTCTTTGCCGGTCCAGGTCCATGGGATGTTCGAGACTCTTCTCCAACACCACAGCTCAAAGGAATCAACTCTTCCCTTCGTCATCCTTAGTCACTGTCCACCTTTAAGATAGATAGGAAGTAACTGAAAGGGCTGGTGCATGAATCAGGAGCCCTTTTGTCCTTAGACTGATACGTTGATCTTTTTTGTGTTTTGTTTGTTATTTTTTTAATTTATTATTAATTTCAATGAAAATTTAGAGACTTTGGATTTCCGTTCATTCATTGTTGTACTTTTCTCCCTTCCCATCCCTCCTCTCTAGTACACTACCCTCTTGGAAAAGTAAAAGAAAAATTCTTTCATTGTTTTACAAACCCTCATTCCCCAGATCTACTCCACTATACAGCCCTCACTCTGGACTCCTGTCATGACAAAAATACCTAATAATTTTCACTCTTAAACAGTTTTCTCCCTCATTTGTTTCAATGCAGTATACATTATTGAACCTATCTTTTTTAGTCTCTCCCCAACCCCGAGGTCACTCCTGCTTTACAACAGTGTCACTGCAGTATTTGTCCTTTTGCGACTGAGATACTTCACTCAGCATAATATCCTTCAGGGTCACCCATTTTGAGCAATATTTCATTAATTCCTTGTTTTATAATGCAATGTAGTATTCCATTGTGTGAATATACCACAGCTTCTCTGTCCATTTGTTTGTTGATGGGCACTTAGGTTGTTTCCAAATCCTTGCTATT